GTGATTCAGCAACCAAGGTTTTTTGTAATAAAAAAAATCCCAGTCAACCTTGGAATAGCGGGAAGTCGCTCATGCTCCTCTGCTGCACCCATTGTCTGGAACTTCATTCTCATTTCCATGTCCCGCCTCTATCAAATAAATATGCTCACCGTTTTTGTAGAGCATCTCGAGATGCGGTCACATATAGATGCACTATAAATCGAGATTGTATTTCGTTGTAGCTACAGAAGTGCATGGAAAAAAGAGGGTGACTGTGATATAAGAAATTGATAACAATGTGCGAACTATATGGAGTGAATCCTTTATGTAAAAATGCCCACTTCAGCCTTTGTTTTTATCGTGCAGAATCTCTGAAACTCGGTTACGCATTTCCATTAGAATATTGAGCAAAGCCATTCCACGCCCGGAAAAAAACCCTCCACTCCAACGTTCGCCGTCTTAATAAAGGAGCTGAAAGTGCAAAGAGTGGACCACAGTTTGTGCCAATCCCTTGCTTCATTAATGGCAGTAAATACCACTTAGTTAGGGGCCATTTAAGAAAGTGGGCTGCAGCTGCCACGGTTTCAACAAGATTGCTGAAAATTGTTCATTCATTATCAAAGAGTCACCTGCAGGAACACTTGTACCTCACTGATTTAACAACCCTTGCAACTTTAGACGTGTTTAAAATCTCCAACGTTGCACATCAAGAGCATTTAAAAATTATTTCTTCTTCCATGCCAACTTGTATCTTTGTAGCTTTTGTTGAAAGAAAGTAGGCTAAGAGTAAGTTGAAGGGACAGCTTCAGCACTGAAGAAACAAGGAAGAGAATAAGGCCACTGATGCTGGTGTCAGAGCAAGATAACTCAAGTGGAAAAGTGGTTGGATGCGTCGCGGGAACAACTGATGAGAGGGATGAGAGACGAAGCTCACGACGGAGTGGAGACCGAGAGAGGGGAAGAGAAGCGGAGGAGAGACAGCGGAAGAGACTGCGGTAGCAGCAGCTCGACGTCATTGCAGAGTTCAGAGGTCACGGCTGGGACGGGAGCAACCGAGGAGACTTTTGCCCAGAAGTGGGAAGTTAGAGTCTGACAACAACCACATCATCTAGCACGATGCTTTTCGTCCACGTAATAATATTACATCTGTCATGTTTTAAAAAAATGACTTCCCAGTCAGATTTCAATTGACTAATTGACTCATTGCTAGGACAAAAGTGCGTGCTTTTGAGCCAATGCTTGTAACCTAATTTAAAATGTTCAACGTATTTTACTGAAATCTTTGGTTCTATTTTAAACTTGATGCTCGTTTTTTTTAATTGGCTTAATATTACGCAAACGATCTCATAATGCTGTGAATAACTTTGTCCGACTCAAACTGTATGTACTTTGGTACTTTCTTCATGGGTCGTGGAGATGGATCAATGAAATCTGCTCATGCGCAGGGGTCGGTTTGATCTTTCATTGCAGGAGCGTGAGAGATGGATGAAGGCTTGTGGAGGCCTTCATCCATTTATTAATTACGGCTGCTGTTTATGATGATAATGAGTTCTAATTTAAGGTAAGTTTCATTATTGGTTAATATTTTATTTTGGTCTTCACTGGATTTTCTTTCAAGATCCAGGTCTACCTTAAAAAAGAGACGTTTAGTCTCAATGGGCTCTCACGCCGATTTGAATAAAGCTATTGAGTGATTGATTGCGCTTATAAATTTCAATGCATATTTAAGACCATGTGAGAGGTCACCGATGAGTGTAATCCCTAGGCGGGATGAAGGAACTGAACAAACGTAGACCCACGTGAGTACGTACGCAAGCTTTAATATACACCGTAGACTTTCTGAAGACATCCGTGTGGTACATTGTCCTTAAAACAAAAAAGTTGGGCTCCTATGGGATTTCGCCTTCAATATTGAGAGGCCCTGCGAAACACACTTCAGCTGCTGCAGGGGCCCATCTTGACTTGTGCAGCCTGACACGTCTGTATCCACTGGGTTTTCACCGAAATACACTTCCTAACATCTACATCTTTAAATTTCAGGCACGATCAGGCAGCAATTCAGGTCAAACCCCAGCAGCACACTTCGGAGCGCACGTGGCCATGCGGACGGCCACGGACGCGTCTGCCAGAGTGCGGCATTGACGTACGCACGCACACACCGGAGGGGCGACATTAGAAGAAAAATAAATCCTACGTCCGGGCTCACTCGCAACAAAAGGAGGCCAGCTCTGTGGATCGCTCGCACGCACGTGCGCGCACACGCACGCACGCACGCACGTGGGACGCAGGGATTTAGCGACCAGGCTGAACGCGCTGAGGTCACCCTTCGAGGTCGGCCTCATAACAAGGTCCCCGGCGGCTGCGCTGACGGTTCAATGTGGCTATTAAAGCCGTTGCTCATCCCCGGGACTCTGAAGGGGGCGGCCGTGCTCATCAACTCATCAAAGTGTAATTAACCTGGGAATACTGGCAGCGCGGGAGGAGGAGGCAACTGCTGCTTCGCATAGTGCCCTTCGCCTCGGAGATTTCGTTAATTCCTTCAGATGCTCGCGCACACGCGCGCCTATATCCTTTTGCTGTTGTATTCTTTTCTTCCGCACGTAAAGTTTTTTGGAGTTGCTACGTCAGCACCGCGAGGAATGACAGCGGGAGAGAGCGCGTGCGGGAGGGAGAGAGAGATGGAATTGGCGCAATTCCACGAGATGGTGATGATGATGCCGTTTCCACTGCGTGCACATTTTTTGCGTGCAACCTCGCACAGTGAGCATGCGTGGTCCATGGAGGGGACTTTTTTGACCCCCTTCAAATTCCGTCTGCGTGCGCGTGTCAGCGGTCCCGGAGCTAAATGTATAAATATACGAAACTAATATGTTATGTATGTATGGTGAACTTTTTTCGTACCGTATGTAACCAATCGTGCCAATCAGAAGTGCGGGGGTGAGTGGGTGAGTGTGTGAGTGGGTGAGTGTGTGTATGGGTGAGTGAGTGAGTGTGTGTATGGGTGAGTGGGTGAGTGTGTGTATGGGTGAGTGGGTGAGTATGTGTATGGGTGAGTGGGTGAGTGTGTGTATAGGTGAGTGGGTGAGTCTGTGTATGGGTGAGTGGGTGAGTGTGTGTATGGGTGAGTGGGTGAGTGTGTATGTATGGGTGAGTGGGTGAGTGTGTGTATGGGTGAGTGGGTGAGTGTGTGTATGGGTGAGTGGGTGAGTGTGTGTATGGGTGTGTGGGTGAGTGTGTGTATGGGTGAGTGTGTGTATGGGTGAGTGTGTGAGTGTGTGTATGGGTGAGTGGGTGAGTGTGTGTATGGGTGAGTGGGTGAGTGTGTGTATGGGTGAGTGGGTGAGTGTGTGTATGGGTGAGTGGGTGAGTGTGTGTATGGGTGAGTGGGTGAGTGTGTGTATGGGTGAGTGGGTGAGTGGGTGTATGGGTGAGTGGGTGAGTGTGTGAGTGGGCGAATGGGTGAGTGTGTGTATGGGTGAGTGGGTGAGTGTGTGTATGGGTGAGTGGGTGAGTGTGTGTATGGGTGAGTGGGTGAGTGTGTGTATGGGTGAGTGGGTGAGTGTGTGTATGGGTGAGTGGGTGAGTGGGTGTATGGGTGAGTGAGTGTATGGGTGAGTGGGTGAGTGGGTGTATGGGTGAGTGTGTGTATGGGTGAGTGGGTGAGTGTGTGTATGGGTGAGCGGGTAAGTGTGTGTATGGGTGAGTGGGTGAGTGTGTGTATGGGTGAGTGGGTGAGTGTGTGTATGGGTGAGTGGGTGAGTGTGTGTATGGGTGAGTGGGTGAGTGTGTGTATGGGTGAGTGGGTGAGTGTGTGTATGGGTGAGTGGGTGAGTGTGTGTATGGGTGAGTGGGTGAGTGTGTGTATGGGTGAGTGTGTGTATGGGTGAGTGGGTGAGTGTGTGTATGGGTGAGTGGGTGAGTGTGTGTATGGCTGAGTGGGTGAGTGTGTGTATGGGTGAGTGGGTGAGTAGGTGTATGGGTGAGTGTGTGTATGGGTGAGTGGGTGAGTGGGTGTATGGGTGAGTGTGTGTATGGGTGAGTGTGTGTATGGGTGAGTGGGTGAGTGTGTGTATGGATGAGTGGGTGAGTGTGTGTATGGGTGAGTGGGTGAGTGTGTGTATGGGTGAGTGAGTGTGTGAGTGGGTGAGTGGGTGAGTGTGTGAGTGGGTGAGTGGGTGAGTGTGTGTATGGGTGAGTGGGTGAGTGTGTGTATGGGTGAGTGGGTGAGTGTGTGTATGGGTGAGTGGGTGAGTGTGTGTATGGGTGAGTGGGTGAGTGTGTGTATGGGTGAGTGGGTGAGTGTGTGTATGGGTGAGTGGGTGAGTGTGTGTATGGGTGAGTGGGTGAGTGTGTGTATGGGTGAGTGGGTGAGTGTGTGAGTGGGTGAGTGGGTGAGTGTGTGTATGGGTGAGTGGGTGAGTGTGTGTATGGGTGAGTGGGTGAGTGTGTGTATGGGTGAGTGTGTGTATGGGTGAGTGGGTGAGTGTGTGTATGGGTGAGTGGGTGAGTGTGTGTATGGGTGAGTGTGTGTATGGGTGAGTGGGTGAGTGTGTGTATGGGTGAGTGGGTGAGTGTGTGTATGGGTGAGTGGGTTAGTGTGTGTATGGGTGAGTGGGTGAGTGTGTGTATGGGTGAGTGGGTGAGTGTGTGTATGAGTGAGTGGGTGAGTGTGTGTATGGGTGAGTGGGTGAGTGTGTGTATGGGTGAGTGGGTGAGTGTGTGTATGGGTGAGTGGGTGAGTGTGTGTATGGGTGAGTGGGTGAGTGTGTGTATGGGTGAGTGTGTGTATGGGTGAGTGGGTGAGTGTGTGTATGGGTGAGTGGGTGAGTGTGTGTATGGGTGAGTGGGTGAGTGTATGTATGGGTGAGTGGGTGAGTGTGTGTATGGGTGAGTGGGTGAGTATGTGTATGGGTGAGTGGGTGAGTGTGTGTATGGGTGAGTGGGTGAGTGTGTGTATGGGTGAGTGGGTGAGTGTGTGTATGGGTGAGTGGGTGAGTGTGTGTATGGGTGAGTGGGTGAGTGTGTATGGGTGAGTGGGTGAGTGTGTGTATGGGTGAGTGGGTGAGTGTGTATGTATGTTGAAGAAATATAAATATTGATCACATAGGAAGATAGACAATGCAGTTAGGCAGATAGGCATGCAGATAGTCAGGCAGGTAGGTGCTTAGGGAGGCAGGTAGATATGTAATTCGGTGGGTATGTACGTTGGTAGGCAGGCAGATAGGCATAAAAGCTGTCGGTAGGCAGATTGCTAAGAATGTAGTTAGATAGGTAGCCAGGTAGCCATGCAGTTAGGCTGGCAGGCAGGTATTTCAGTAGGTAGGTGAGTAGGTAAGGTAGATAATTAGGTGGGTAGGCAGGTAGGTAGCTTCCTTCTTTAAGGGAACTATGGGAGATAATTTTTACCTCTATAAAAAAAAAACGAAACAAATTATTTGGTCACACTGTCGGCAGTGGTGCACAAAGCACAAATAACGATACAACTCAACACATTCGTCAATGACACTGTGGCCTTAAAGGAAAACAAATGTATAACAGGTGATATTTCGGCCAATGGCCCAGAGGACCATGCAAGCTGGCAGTACCATATTAAGGTGTATACAATAAATCCGCATTCGTCAATAACCCTTGGCCCACAAATGTTACCCACTATATAATTTCCTTTCAAGGCAACGTTATTAAACAAATTAGTTTAATCTTGTTGTTCATTTTGGGCACATTGCAACGTGGCACCGCCAGCTTGCATCATTCACAGGAAGCATTTCAGATCTTCGCCAGACTATTCCTGAAACCGTCCACTGGTTCAGACTCCAACCTCAACTGGAACATATTTAAGGAAATGAGAACACGTAATTGTAATGATCAATTTACCTCCCTTTTCTTCATTGCTATCCGTAGCACGCACTTGCGCAAGGAAAGGCGATAATTTCCGAACCGCCTTGCCCGTTACAGCACGTTTAAAGAATGCTGCTGCGTAAACATATTCATTTAGGCTGTGCTGCGTAAGCCTCCAATGTGTGTTCAGCTTGTACCCCGCGCGTTGTTCGGAATGATGTCCGACGTTTTCGCCCACGTGCTGGGAGCTTCTTCAGGAAGGACATTTTGCCGGACAGCACGTGGCACAATCTGAAAAAGATCAGACAGCTACATCCAACGGTAGTTACTTTGCAGCGTGTCCACGGGCCCCGTACTTATGTCTGTTTATTGCCTTCGACTGGTAATCGTGTGAGGTACGAGAAGGAAATTAACTCAAATTACACGGCCCCGTGTTATGTGGCTTCAGGGTCTCCGAGTTGCATTAATAAAAACCTCACTGTTCATTATTCCTCTTGCAGGTTATTGCCTGGCATTGCTCTCTGCTGTGTGGCATTAACGCTGCTTTAATTTTCAGTTGTTAACTTTAGATTCCGCACTCGATTAAAGCTATATCTTCCGTGTGGCACAGATGCCATGACGCACGTTGGAGAACAGACTGTGCTAAAAACGCGTGTTCCCCATTTGGAGTTTTCCTAAATTTGTCTAAGTGTTTATCTTTTGCCAATTTGAATAACATCAGTGGGCGAGTGATATCTGAACTGGCCGTGAGCAGAGCCGGGATCTTTCCTTCATCGACCAACTGTGACCAAAATGGTGAAGTATGGTCAATCAAACCCCATCGCCAGAAGGTGTGTGGAGGCCTTCATCCGGTGTGTTTTTTTCCTGTTATGATTTAGAATTATTGATTGTGAATCTTGCGCCGAAAATGCCAAGATTGCCCCAACCGTTTAGTGGCTCTCTCCCCATTGTTTCACGCTTTGATTTTCTCTCCCTCATGCCGCACGCGTCTTTTTAACCGAGGGCTCTTTTGTGAGAGGGAGACGTTTGCCCTCAAATGGCTCTCACCTGGTTATAAATAAAGCACGCGAATTAATGAATTATGTAGAGAAACATGTAAAACACAAACCTAAAAACGGCACTTTGCCAATCTGCACAACAGCGGTGTAATACGGTGCTATGGCAGGACACGCCGTGGCTATAAAACAGTATAATAATAATAATTACAATTTATAAACCGCCCTTAAACAATCGTTCTCAGTATTGTGTGGTCTAAGGTATGTCACTGTGATTAGACACAATCACAAAGAGGTTATGATGGTTGGTCAACCGATTGTGCGCTTTTGATACCAGGTTTTACACCGCGCAATTTTGAAGCAACATTAATAATCGTCATCATCACCATCATGCGTCTAAATAATGTATGGAAGGCAAGCCTCGCTGAGTCTCAAGACTTGTTGCATGAGGTTCCCTGCAACATTGGGATGATGTTTGGCCAATTCCATGAATGAGAGTTTGGCTCTGCGTTGGAGGAAACCGGAGAACCCAGAGAAAAACCACCACGCATAAGAGGGGGAGGGGGGGGGGGTGACGCTCATCACTGCCAACTCCTGGCCACACGTCGCAGCCCCCACGCCTACAGCACCGCGCCTATGACACCCGGCAAACACGAGTGGTCACCCATCCAAGTGTAAACCAAGCTCAACCTTGCTCTCGCTCTTGAGGAGACGCGGGCGCATTTCGGCTGATGTGGCGATGGAGGCCAAAGAAAATGTACTGGCAGTGGTTTAGAAGTCTGGGATGAAATAATTTTACCAGTAGCGGCACCCTACCTCAAAAACGCCAAAACGTCATCCTGTCGCTCTAATCCATCACAAAATGCGTTCCAGTACGTTGAGACGCAGTTGCATTATGTGCTAAACTCCAAGTTAAACTGTGCATTTGTATTGCATAAATTAAGCCAACACATTCAGGAGCAACGGCCTTCCTTTCACTGCTCCATTGTTGTTTGACTTTGTCTCGTTCTTTATGGCTCAAAATCAACAAAGACTAAAACTTGCCTCGACCCGTGGCTTAGTCTTCACCTCCCAGACCCCCGCACTTACAGAGTCGCCCCACCCCGAAATGGCCCTTGAATCTAATTTATGGGTCGTTATAATGGCCATGTATTCATAGCATTGGGGAACACTTAATCGAGGGAGAGAGAGAGCGCATGCAAAAGAAAGTTAATATAAGTGATATACTTAGGTCACGTGACATTAATGCACGCTACAGCACGAAGGGAGGTGCATATTAAAATGATTCAAAAACTGCTGGGAATGCGTCGTGCCCATGTGAGCACCGTAGCCTGTGGGCTCTAATATTGTGCATCATAAACACGAGAATCTTAAAAGCACAATTCTAGCAAAATCAATAGAGAATGCGCCTATCGGGGGATGTGGTGGTGGTGGCTGGGGGGGGGGATGAAATAAACTCGTGTGCAGGTGCTAGATGGAAAGGCCTTCATCCAGCAGTGGAGTTTCCACGGATGATGATGAAGATGAATGGAGAACATTCTTGATGAATGGAGCAACAACACATCAGGATTAGACAATATTTGAGCGGAAAAAAGTATGCCCATTGCATTCAGGGACGTAAGATGTTAGGGGACGACAACGAAAGAACAAGACACATTGGAGAGTGAGAGAAATAACAAACAAAAACAGAGTGAAAGAAAGAGAGAGAGAGACAATTAAACGCCAATTCCTGGTCGACAATTAAACATCGGGCAACAAGAGAGAAAGAATAAACATCGGACAACAAGAGAGAAAGAGAGGGAGGGCGAAAGAGAGACAATACAAAGCCAACTGACAGCCAAAAAAGGGCACAGCCAAAGAGGCCCACACGCGCTCAGACTTAGACTGATGTGGAGCGCGCGACCTGATGGTTGCGGCGCGGAAGCGTTGATACGTCTTCAATGAGGAGGCGACGCATATCCAGGGATCGCTGCCTCCCACCGCAGATACGGTTTTGCGAGCCGGGGGAGCAAACTCTGCCGAAGTGAGGCGCTTCAGACAACGCCAGCACCTGGAAGTCATGGATGAGAGCGAGAGAGCGAGAGAGACAACCACTTCTGTGCATACAAAATGTAAACCATGGCATCTTAAATCTTATTTAAGTGTAACAAACACGACAGTGCCACTGCAGGCAATCACCGTTCAAGCGACTGACAAATAGCTTCTGATTTAAATGACAGATTTAGTCTTTTGGAAGGGATGGAGAAAAAACGGGAAGGAGGCATCAGCAGCCGAATGGGAACATTTTTGACCGAATTGTATGCGATAAAATATTAACGTGCACCTTGGGAGGAGTTTTTGCCACAAAACCATCCCAACACTAAAACGAACCCTACCGGGGCATGGTGCACCAAGTTAAACATTACATCCAATTAACATCACTGTACTTTACCCATTACGTCAGCTCGGATATGGTTGGACAATGATGACGAAATAAATGTTTAATTTTTATCCGGTTGATTTTAATGTTTAATTACAGTTTCGTCCTATTTTATATCTCTTAAGCCATTAAAGCAGTCCTTATGCTCTGATTACGCCAATTTGGAACATTACTTCAGATGTAAATCCATTTGTGTGATTAATATTTTATTAGGCATATTAATGACGGGGGCTAAATTCATAACTCTGCAAACGCTTGGCATATGCAGAAATGGGACGCGGCCCCGTGCCCGTCTAATCTGAGTTATTTACCTGATGGAAGGCACTCACATTTCATGCATACGCGCAACTAAAATTATCGCAAAGACTAATAAATCTCACCATCTCAAAAAAGCGCTCACCCAGAGATGCATGTTAATTATATGCAGCGGATATTTTAATATATTTTTTGATAAATACCGCCGCCGCCGCGCACACGCCGGCAATATTTCACACTTCAAAAAGTGATAGTTATTTATTAGAGCTTAAGATTGTCGACAGGCCGTGCGTTTATTGTCGCGGGGAAATTACGGTGTCCTCAACCATCGCAATCGTCAGCAATAATTACGAGCCGTATACCTTATTTGCGCGTTAAATATTAAAGTAGTTAAGGGCAGGAAACACCCGCGTGATGGAAAACAGGCTATTGGACGTGGAAATAAAATATGCGAAATGCGATTTTTTTCTCACAATAAATACAAAAATTCACGAAAATGTGTACCCAAAATTAATTATATCCATCATTAAATTATTGACGCTATAAAAAAAGATTGCGATTTTTTTCCCCCCCTACGTTATTTAAAGCTACTTAAGTAATGCTTTAATAATAATACAGCTATCTTAAAAGTCATGAATCAACTTTCAATTATTTACACAGCCTTTTCTTTATTCATTACATTAAAGTTTATGCTTAATTTACAATGTTTCATGGTTGCCAGTCAAATCAATTGGTTGCCAAAGGAGCCACCCCTCCCTCCGATATTGTCCCGATGAGATAACCGTGCCCCACTTGTAAACACCATCCACACCCCGCCCAAATTAACTCAAACCTAAATGGCCATAATTGATTGGTCTCTGAAGCTTTGGCTGGGTCAATTGCCATTTGCAATTAAATGGAATCATTTAAATGCTAATTAGCAACAGTTTTAACAGAGGGCTCTGTCCCATTATGCAGATGCAATGACATGTTCAACGGCCATTCTGCGCTTCCAACTAAACATCAATTAGCGATGCATATCTACACAGCAGTCACATTTCCCGTCAAAGTCCGAGTTTAATTTTCTTAAAAGAATGTATAAATGCTGCCACTGAATTATAATCACCGTTATTGGGCAACATAGTGTTATGTTATTGAAAGTTAATCCCTCCCAAGCACTGTGCTCTTGTGTGCGTGTTGCTATGAGTAAAAAGCACTTTGGAATTTTTTTTTTTGCCAGAAAAGCGGATATGCCAAAAAAAGCTAATGCAGAGGAATGAATGGCCACTATTACCTGCAGCTCTGCTCTCTATAATTAAACTCATAGATTGCACGATGTGTTCCTCCCATTTCTCTCCTGCTCTCTGTCGCGCGTGAAAAAAATAGCAATAAAATAAACTATCATCTTCCGAGCGCCTCATTTTCCCGATCTCCCGCCCCGACATGCCAGCCCCCTCCCGGCTGCCAACTCTACCGCTCCCCTGCCTCTCCCCTCCCCGATGCTCCCCCTCCTCCTCCCCCATCCCTCCCCACGGCCACTATAACCACTCTGCCCGGGACCAGCAAATGAATGCCACTAATTTGGGCCTGGGCTGAGGCTGACAGACCGATTCTTTGACAGCTTTCATTACCGCCGCCTAAAATTACAGCGCTTGCTCTCGCACTTCCATGAAACGCAAGCGAGCTGCTCGGCATGCGAGCAAATGAATGGCAGTCGGGGAGCGTCTGCAAATTAACAAACGAGGCAGAGAGAGGGGGCCTGACTCCCCGGGCCTTGGCTCCGAGGCCAATGAGCTAAGACCAATGAGCTTTTTAGAGGTAGCCGTGCTGGGAAATCTGAAACTCTTCACGGGACATTAATAGTCCCAGTTTTGTCAGTTGCATAATAATACACCGCTCAATACATTGCATAATAATACACCGCTCGATACAATGCATAATAATACACCGCTCGATACATTGCATAATAATACAACGCTCGATACAATGCATAATAATACACCGCTCGATACATTGCATAATAATACACCGCTCGATACAATGCATAATAATACACCGCTTGATACAATGCATAATACACCGCTCGATACAATGCATAATACACCGCTCGATACAATGCATAATAATACACCGCTCGATACAATGCATAATAATACACCGCTCGATACAATACATTTATATGTGGGCTCCCCCCCCCCCACCCCTCTTCTGATATTGAGAAATTCTTCTTCCCATGATATGGCCTCGTTTTTTTTCACCTGAGAAGTGGCAACCCTATAATGAGCCTCTGTGGCCAGATGGGCCGTTTAAAATACTACATTTAATAAACAGGTCCTGCGTGGCGTGTGATTTTGCAAGCGACGTCCTGCATTCACATTGTCTTTTCAAAACCGCGCCTCCTCACCATTTCTAAGCCTCTTCAAAGGCGGCCTGATCTCCCCCCTTATTGAATTATACCTAAACAGGATGCACAAAACAGCACTCGCTGAAAATTGCCTCATTCATGTTTAATGTGTGCCTATTAAGATAATAACAAGTGGGGGGGGGGGGGGGGGGTACTTTTAGGCTGGTGGTTTCCGCGAGTATTATTGTAACCAAGTGGGTTCATTACTTTCTGAAAATTTCACTCCATGGGCCACACGCGTTAATAACGTCCGTAATTTGTGCCCTCGTGCTCGCCACGGTATAAATAAGATTCTAGGTGGCATTTACGTTCCACTGGATATACAAATGATAAAGTTAAAAAAGAAACAAATCACCTCCAAGAGTATGATACTTTGTATCCAATGCCACCCCCTCCGCCAACCAAAAAAGTTGTTTGTAAGCTTTTGAAGAGCACGGACTCCATGTTAACCACAGCTTATGAATAATGTGAGTTTAAAATAAACTTGCTGAATGCTTAAGGCAATACTATGATTTACGGCCCTCCATGAATACGCTGGTGGATGAAGGCCTCCCACAATCATGTGCTAGTCATGGGGATTGTTTGGACATTCTTCACCAGATTAGTCGGCACGCGCTTGGTTTGAAGAGGGCACCCAGGACCAGTTCCAATGTAAATTGCCACTGATGTTAGCCGTGAATGGGAATCAAACAGTTTGCCGGGTACATAATGCAGTGCCGTTAAACCACTTTGTTACTTTCCAACCCCTGTTGAATTCTCACTCGTTGATTTATTTCTACATTTGTTAACTGTTCAAACAATATTTGTGCACAATAAATGGGCACTCCTGCATTTTAACACAACATCCATTGTTCACCAAAAAATGCTTTCACATCTTGGAAATGAAAGCCAGGACACGGAAGGGAAACTTAAGTGAACATTTTGTTGCATTCCATCGAAACAGAGCCCTTTGCATTATACATGTTGAATTTTTTTGGCGCCGTACGTAGCTAACCGTGTTAATCATGAGGTATGGGAGAAAGATGACAATTTAAAGCACATGAATTCAGAACCAAGAAAAGTTTTTGATGCCGAGGTGGAAATTGCCATGTGTGAACATGCGTGCCAACTGTGTGAACACGTATGAATGCCCTCATTCTTGGACATCACCACATTGCATATACGCAGACAGGATCACCACCTTTGAACTTCAACAATGCAGAAAGAATACACACGGAAGTGTTGAACTTCAAAGCCATCCATCCTATAAATTATAATTGATGTTTTCAAATCGCGTAAGCTGTTTAAAAAAAGTAAAAGGAGTAATATTCAGTCATTGTCATAAGTTGTGATCAATCTACTGCTGGATGAAGGCCTCCATTCCCAAGCCTTTGCCATTTCCCACGATCCCACAATGTAAAAAGTCCACGGGGTACCTGCGCACATGCTGATTTAATCTCTTTGGTTAACATCCTCTTGGATGCGTTCCGTTCCCTGCTGAAATTGTTCGTGTCCATACTAACTGTGTCACGGTGCTGATCGTATTTACAGAAATGTTAAATCACCTGGCTTTAAAAGTAGGCCTCAGCAGACTAATTCAGAGCCTACACTAGGCCCAGGACAAAACCAAGATGTTGTCCTTTGGGTTACTCAATACTCGAGGAAGCTGTCACCTGTCATGGCTTTAACAGGATCATTCTCTTATTGAAGCAGCCATCCTGGGAAATATGTAAGTCTTCTCAATTCATTAAACGTCGCGATGTTCGTCCGATGCTTAACAATACACCCCTCTAGACAATGCATTTGTATGTAGTTCTCCACGCTGCTGGTATTGTGCGATAGACTGTTTCCCATGTCCCAGTTTCTTTTACCAAAAAAAAATCCTTAAGCCCACTCACAAACTTCACAAAATCACAGAACCTCCAACACCCCCCCCCCCCCTCCGTGCCACCCCCTCCGTGTACTTCACTCAAAATCCTCCAGTGCCTCTTCGGAGCAGTTCAAACTGCTCCTCTTCCCAGCTTGCCACGAGACTCAAAAGTGCCACGGGGGGGGGGGGGGGGGAGGAGGGGGTGGTGAGACTGGGCCCGTTCATTTCCACCGGGGCGCGACGTAACGTGCAATGCCGGCGGGGGGGGGGGGGGGTCAGGTGGGGGGGGGGGGAGGGGAGGGAAGGTGGGGGGGGGAGGGGGGTGGGGGAGGGGGGGATCAGGTGAGTGGAGGAACGCGCCGGCTTCTGAAACCGGCCTGCGCGCGTGGATTTCGGCCGGCGTTTCACGTTCGTGTTTGGGAAATGGAACGGGGGGCTCTGACCGGCCCCGCTCTCTTATCCGTGCGGTGCCTCCCGCAAACCTACGAATCGCCACACTTTTCCTTCTAAAGTGCATAAATCATTCAGCGGGCACTGTGTATAACCATATTAAGGAAAAGACATCTGAAACACCCGGCAAATTACACGCTTTCATATTTAATGAGGTCCATAATGGAATAAAACATAATTTTGCTATTATTTCATTAAAGGGCCCTGTGTGTGCTGTGACCTGTGCACATGGGCAGTAAGCGGGCAGGCAACTGTGAAATACGTATTAATGATTTACATTCCATTACAACGTGCTGCATTCCATTAAGACTGACCTTCCTTAGACTCTTTTGCATATGGACCCCATTAACCACATCATTATTCCAGCGCACCTTTGTCTAGCGCCAAAAAAAAGGGGGGGAGGGGGAGAGAGAAACTTTAACTAGTACTTTTTTTCTTCCTCCTGGCCCAGCGATTTTGGAGAAAATTAGAAGCATAAATCTGAGTGTGAACTCTCGCACTGCGGGGTTATCTCTGGGGGCCCAGGGAGTGAATGAGGCGGTGGGTGAGGTGGTGGTGGTGGTGGGGGGGGGGAGGAGACGCAGAGAGGATAGCGCGATGGGGTAGTGGGACGTGTGCGTGTTAGACCTAATAATGCTGGCGCGCGACCACTGCGTTACCCATCGCACCTCTGCCGTTAATTAGAAATAAAACGCCTGTTTTACATCGCGGCTCCAGGCCGCAGCTCATTTGCATGCTGGGCTTTGGCTAAGGCCGGGAGCTGCCGTACATTAAAGTATAATTATGACCTTGCTTTATAACTCATAAAGCCACTGTTTAAAGGATTTAGCTCTACCCTCAGCATAAAAATGTTTTTTATTTGAAACGTTTGATATAAATGAGTCACACCCCCACCCCCCCCCCCCCGTGCTGACAATACGACGTTGTCCAAAAAAGCGCTAACCACATTTCACGTGTCAATAACTCTGATCCCGGGGGACACATTGCTGCGTAATGTGCAGCATTACAATCGGTGAGGGAGGTTTTTTTTTTCTTATTTTTTTTTCCACGGGAGTGAAAGTGTCGCGTTCGTGCGGAGTGAGCAAAATGACAAAACAGGCCCCTTTCCAGGGAGTGCGGCAGAAGTGAAAGTTCACGGGACACTGCGGATCGCACACACGCGCCCCTCCACAATCCTCACCTTGAGTGGCCACGTTCTGCGGTGGGTGTGTGTGTGTGTGCACATGCGGTAGTGTAGCGGTGAGTGCGCTGCACTATGAACCCGGAGTGGCCGAGTTCGATTCCCGCTCACGGGCAACACCAGTGACGATCATCTGAACCGCTACTGGGCCTCCCCTAGGTCGACTCGACCTCAAATTAGTGTCTGTTGTGGTGTGTGGTAAAGATCGCCACTGCGGAGACAAAGGCGGCCGGGCGTGGTGCTGGCCACGGACCTCCTCGTGTGCGGTGCCGGCCCCAATAGGTGCTTGCTAACAGCACTTGCCCAACGGTCTGTGAAGGCTATACGGGGGAACCGTGTCTTTGCGTTGTGTGTACAGCCATATGTCACTGCTGGATGAGGGCTTCTCTATTCCCGGCGGGCATTCCCGACGGACATTCCCGACGGGACCGTGCGTGGTTATTTGACCGGGTCCGCGAGCATCGGTTGCTGAGAAAGGAAGAAACCGACACAATGCAGCATATAAGTATGGTGCAATAAAAATGTTTCATGTGCTGTCTCCTGCTGCCCGCAGCCCGTAACAACCTCCTGTGCATGGCGGCCACTCGTCCAAGAATAATTATCCAGGCTCGAGGCTGCTTAGCTAGGCTAGCTTCAGGGATCTCATGAAAACAGGTGCGTCCTGGGTTAATCGGTCAAGGACCGTGCTTTGTGAGCTGCTCCTACGAAATACCCACACAACACCATAGATAAATCCAAAAAACGCAGCAGTGCAGGTTAAGATAGGAAATGGAAGAAATGAAATGGAAGCATTTCGTATCGCAGAAGGAAATTGAACTCACATTTAATCATACGTTTTGGAAAACAGATACCAACTTGCCCCAACAGAAATATAAATGTCTACACTGTTGAGGAACATGCTGTCTCCAGGTAACTACGGTGACCTTGCCACACAAATTGGTGGTCGGACAATCACCGCAGCCAGCCGCCTTTGTTCATGTTTACAAATTGAACCAATGGCACCGACATCATATCGTATCGGGATGTTACTGATACGTCAATTAAGTGAATTAAAACGTATTATTATGCTCGTGATACACGGAATGAACGTTGAGTGTAATTTGTATTATTATTTGTGATTCGTATACTCTACATTGAATATAATTAGTCCACGTGACACATGCAGCCACTAGAGGCACTACATATGCCACAGTGTTAACAACAACAACAGATTCCTGAATCAAAGTGCAATGATAAAGCATTACAATTCGTCAAAACTCAAGGGAGTGAATTGTTTCGGGCCTAATATCATAGGCAACTTGCTCACACTGATCCACCACTAACTTATCACGAACTAAAACAGGTCAACCATACATCCGTAGAGGCTACTGAGGAAAGTGCTGTTTGAAAGCACCTATTAAAGGTGGCATAACGCACAGTGGGCTGGTGTGTGGACACCACACCACCTGAGCACATTTGTCTCTCCAGTGCTGGTGTGTTGACACACCAGGTACTTATTTATGGCTAAGTCAACCTAGAAGAAGCCTAGGGCACATTCTGACACCACTCACCACTGACATTATCTGTGGTTGAGAATCAAAACTCAGATCACAGGGTTCATAATTGTTAGCACACGGCACTACGAAACCGAGTAACGCGAGCGTGGTTCCCGGCCAGCGATGTTATCACAGGTCACCGGAGTTGACAGCGCAGTGTGCTAACCGCAGCGCCACCACTCCCATCCAACAACGCACGCACGCACGCCCGCACCAGATTAACTGCGGCAAAGGCCTGCCACATGTGCCGTGGTACAACAACAGCAGACAGACAGACGACAGACAGAGAAACAGCCGGGCGATGGGCTTACCGCATAGCGCAGGTCGAGCCACGTATCGCACCTGGTCTCGAAACGAAGCCAACCCCACCCGCACCTCCCCTTCCCGTCCCACCGCTCTCAGGCAAAGAAGCCGCACCCTGCCCGGGCAATGAACAGGGGAAGAATTCTTTTTTTTTTAAGAAAAGAAAACAGAAAGAGTGAGGCATGACCGTGCGTGCCAGTGTAATACCTACAGGAGCCGTGGAAGTTATAATTACAACCCCTTTGTCAACCAGCCTCCCCAGTGCCGTGTGGGTCACGGCAGTTGTTGTTGTTGATTGACCATACTTCACTACACAGGTGTGAAGTGGCGTGGGGGGGGGGGGGATGTGCCCAGGAGCAGTTCTGATGTCACTCGTTACTGATGATACTCATGATGAGAGCTTTAACTGGGAATGCAACTCGGGCAGGTATGTTCATAACGGAGTGCACTCAACAATTCCCCACTGTTCTAGATTTGAAGCTTTCGTGACTGCAAGGATCCATACTCTTTGGTTCTATTCGGTAAAGTCACGTAGGTAACTACGTGACTTTACCGAATAGAACGTAGGTAACTACGTGACTTTACCGAATAGAACCAAAGAGTATAATTCCCCACTGCCCATGTCATGCTGCCATAACACTGTCTTGGAATAAAAAAAGTCTAACTGTGTATATTTTGACTATTATACACCTGCACATTAAGGTAAAATTTTAAGAAACTTCAAATGCTCTGTATATACATAGGCATGACTTTGTTATACACCTGCACATTAAGGTCAAATTTTAAGAAACTTCAAATGCTCTGTATATACATAGGCATGACTTTGTTTTCCCTAGAATACACATCCCACTCTTTTGTAAGGCATCTTACAATGAGATGAGGCTGCATTTAAGATGCTCCGTACAATCCAAATGGTTCCAATTGAAGACAGGTTTATTGGAAAATCTAAAGAAATGGGCAAAAATGTGTATCTCCTTTCAAGAATGTATCCTACTAATTAAATAAAAAGAAGACAAAGCTAAACGAGACAGATTGTATTTAATTACATTTATAGTCAAGAAGATAATATCAAGCAACGCGTACATCATCATATGGCACCAGTGGTAACCGTTAAAGAGAAACAATTCCTTAATCAACTAAGTGTTCACTGGGATAGGCCGAGCTGCCGACGAACGAATCACGAGCAATGTGCCCGATCACATCACATCACATCTCTCAAGCTAAGCAGTCTTGAGCCTGGATAGTTTTCGGATGGGTGACCACGATGCACCCTGGGTTGTCAGAGGCAGCCGTGGCGCCGTGCTCCGTGGAGGGAGAGTGCAGAGAAATCAATTTGTTGTACTGCAATTCTATGCTTCCACGTCAATGCTCCTCCATGTGTGCATTAGCCTGCACTGAGCGGCGTGGTTGAAGTATGGTCAGTGAACCCCCACGACCCTCGCGATATGGGGAGGCCGTCATCCGGCAGTGGAATTGACAAGGGTGCATCTCCAACAATTTCCATTTTCCGATTACCATTGGAGACACTGTGTGTCAGCGCTGTGTGACCTGTGAATGGTTCTCCGCATTTCCTGTGCCAGGTGTGGCGTGTGTAAGTGGATGTACATCACGGTGAACAATACCTTCATTGTGGCATTACTGTGAGTGGCTGCATGCATAATGCATGGACGGCACTAATAACCTCTTTGTTCAGCTTCAGGAGAAAGACACATTCGCCTATATTTCTTTCTGCTCATGCCCAATCGCTTTGTTGGTCATGATTACAACATTGCAAATACTTCACAGTCTTAATGGTAATTTACTAACGGCAATATTAGGTGTGGTGGGTGGTGGGTGGTGGGGGGGCACAGTGTTTAGCATGCTGCTCCGTGAAACACAGCAACCAAAAGTTTAATTTCCAGGCATAACCAACAATCAGCGGCAAATGTTATCTGAAATGGTCCTAGCCTCCGCTCTTTTACGATCCTTTACTGACCGGAATGGTGAAGTATGGTTAAACAAACCCCATGCCCTACTGACACGGCATGTGGATGCTCTCATACAGCAGTGGACTGACAAACGACCATACATTATTATTATAATCATTATTTAAATGCGAACATTTGCTGGGGAAGTTTCACTGTCGTTCTTATCGTCGTATACATCTGTACGGACGACGTTATCGAATGCAAACATTGTACACTGAATAACAGCATAATGGCTGGATCAGCTGGTGCAATGGTCAGTGCACTGCAAAATTAACCCTTGTGACCCGACCAGCTCGGATATCACTCCCGGGCTAACATTAGCCCGGGAGTGATATCCGAGCTGGTCCTCCCTCTCCATCTTAACCAGCCCTGCACTGCTAACCATAGTGAAGTATGGTCAAAACGACCCCCACTACCGACAAAGTTGCGGAAAGGCCTCCACCCAGCGGTGCATGAACTAGGGGGCGTTCAATTAATTGAATGATCTAATGGCGCATATTGTGGGGAACCTTCGTTGAAAGCTACACGAAAGGTGACGAGAGCACCTCTCTTTGAATCTTCACGAGTAGGGAACGTGTTGCTCGGCGGTGGAAAATAAGAGACAGCTGTCATTTTCATACTCTTACTGCTGTGCTTGGAGCACTAAAAGTCATTTGCCTTTTCTACGTAAAAATGTAACTTAACGATTTTTATTTTACCACGTAAGGCCCACTTGAGAGCCATATAGCTCTTTTTAACAAAGTGACCTGGCCATAAAATGACAGCTCAATGAAGTGGCTTATCACGTGGAAATGGAGCGCAGCCAAATACCAAAAATGCGTGTTGTTGTTTCTGAATGTGGAGGGAAAAACCGGAGGACCCGGAAAAAATCCACATCGAACCCACGACCTCCTGTATACCAGGCCAGGTAGTTAACGTCTCACCACCGTGGCAACCCCAAAATGCTTGGCGCCCCAAGCATTTTATAAAGTAATAAAATGCCAATATAGTATGTATTGCGAGTGTTTTTTTATATTCTATAGGATTTAAATAATATTCTGGTGAAAGAATAACATTAAAAGGAGCATATATTGAAAAGGTAAAGCAATTTTAAATGAACCGTGTCATTCCTATGTATTCTTTACTCACACCTCTTCGGTGCCACTATCTATTAAACTACTCCAGAACTCTTTCCACCGTTTCAATTTGATTCAATGTTTATTTATTACGTAAAAAAATCCCCTTTAGCCAGTTATCCAGCTAGTTTTGGTGGCAACGGCTGGCAGCCACTATTGTTGGGGGGTGAAAAGGAGTCCAGCCAGCAAACTCGAAGCATAGATTATTTTAATAGTAGTATACTGTTTGGTTCTTTCGGTAAAGTCACGTAGGTAAAACAACAATAATAAAAAATATAATTTTTATTCTTATTTTATTTTATTATTTTTCTACCTACGTGACTTTACCGAAATAACCAAAGAGTATGGATTCCTGCAGTCACGAAAGCTTCAAATCAAGCAGTATGATACATCTGCGTACGAAAAAAAAATCCATGAAAAAAATATATGAAAAAAATATAATTACAATTTTTCTAACCAAAAAATTGCGAGCATCTTGCGCCGTAGGTGCGAGCAGAATCGCAAAGCGGGGCCTGTTAAAGCGAGGGAACGGCGCGGGCAGAAATACCATCATCTCATCTCCTGTCCTGCCGCTTTTATTGCTCTCCATTACTTTGTGCGATGGTGAGAGGGTATGAGGGTAGAGGCTCGGAATGGGCTTTCGGAGGTAGGGCTCCGGACAATCTGGCAACGAGAGAGCCATCTCAACAATCAAAATTGAGGAAGGAGGCTGCGATTTTATTACTGCACCTTATTACTTTATTAAACATCCGTCAACTCTCCCGCTACAAGCTTTGAGCAGCGGGGAACACGGGATGGAGTCGGCGGAGGGACGGCACAATCGCGACGCGTCGTAAATTATGGGACCTCAAAGGGCTCTAATTGCCTTGGCTTCTACACCAGCTCAGAGCCACGATGATTCCATTCATCAAATACGTGACGAATATTTATTCGGGGAAGTGCACATTTTGTTAAATTTGAAGTACAGGTGTTCGAAGAAGATTTAGAGATAGAGGATGCGGCAAAAAGTAAAAATTAGAGTGAAAATATGGAAAAGCCAAACTGACAAAAAATATTCCGGTGCATATCAATTAAAGATGATCGGGAATAATTATTGCAGGATGCGCAAAGATAGACAAATGTACAGAGTTGGAGAGATCAAAGTCAAAGCCTCTCGGTCCACCAGAAAGTTTTATTTTTTCGGGAACGAGGAATTATAAAATGTAAAAAAAAAAAATGCAAATGTTACTTATGACTACAGATATCAAAAATATATATTTTGAAAGCCCTTTATAGGTAAGATGTGTGGACACTCGTGTATCTATAATCAAATTGTATCGTTGCTCTTAAAGGGTGCTGTGAAAACGCCTTCAAATCATTAACCCGGGTGAACCCCATTAAATAGTACAACAAGGAGACGAAAAATTACAAAGTGTGTGGGGCCGAGTATGTCGGTGTCTTCAATTAAAGCGGAGGATGCGTTGAGCTGATGAGATTAGGGCAACCGAGGGAACCCTAACTGGGGAACAATTTGGACACCGGGATGGATCAATAGGCTCTAAAATGGCTTGTTAAAACGTGTTTGACGAAGCAGTGATGAATCGGGATTTAATTGCCAACATTTGCCACCGAAAAATGTTGAAAGGCAATTGGAGAAACTCCCAGTGGATACGGCAAAAAAAAAAATCTCCAAAAGATGACTTTGGGGACGCACTGTGCGTACGATGTTAAAACAGGTTTCATCGTCAGAAAGCGGGAAGTGATATTTTGCTTAAACGAATACTTTTCAAGAGATGGGGTATTTTTTAAAAAACAAATTCTGCAGAGGCTAGTGAGACAGCAGGCTCTGACGAATGTCAAGCGATCACGTGAGGGAGCCCATTATGGCTGTTTGTGCCATCCTCTGGAAATGTCACTTTGCCAGCAAGCCACGTATTTTTTTACCGACTCTGTCGAGCCCACAACTCGCACAGAAAGTGACACACCATAATTTGCACTCCAGGTCGGTCACAAACGA